TCATGCAATATGCAATTTTGTGTCTGGCTTCTTTAACTTAGCATAACATTATCGAGGGTCCTCTACGTTGCAACATGTATTATTAGCACTTAAAAAAATTACCAAATAGTATTCCATTTAATTGTATGGATACACTGTTTAATTGTACGGATAGACCAGATTTTGTTTATTCATCAGTTTTATGGACATTTGGGTGACTTACTGGCCATTATGATTAATCCTTCTATGAATGTTCATGTACAAGTCTCCGTGGGGACATATTTTTTCATTTCTTTTGAGTATATACCTACGAGTGGAATTTCTGGGTCATATGGTAAAGTTATATTTAACATTTTAAGAAACTGCCAAACTGTTTTCCAAAGTGGCTGTACCATATTCCCACCAGCAATGTGGGGTCCATTTTCCTTAGATACGATTGTTTTTTTTAATTTTTATTTTATTATTATTTTTTTAAGATTTTATTTATTCATTTGACACAGAGAGAGAGAGAGAGCTCATGCTCGCGAGCAGGGGGAGGGGCAGCGGGAGAGGGAGAAGCAGACCCCCTGCTGAGCAGGGAGCCCTACATGGGGCTCAATCCCAAGACTCTAAGATCATGACCTGAGCCGAACGTAGATGCTTAACCGACTGAGCCACCCAGGTGTCTCTGTTTTTTTTTTAAATAAGAGGAATATAAGAGAATTTAAAATTAACTTTTGTGAAGAAATCTATTCAAAATACTGTTCATTAAATACTTTAAATGCACACACAAGAGGGTAGAGACATGTTTCTTTATGCTGGTTTCAGTCTTGGCTGCACGTTAGAATCATCTGGGGAGCTTTAAACATACTGTTGCCAGGCTACTACTCAGACAAGAATAATAGGAGAACAGAGGGGGTGGGCGGGTGGGCAGCGGGGCTTGGAAGCTCCCAGGTGATGCCACTGTGCAGGCTGAGCCCCTCTGATTAAAAAAAAAGGAAAGGGGTGCCTGGGTGGCTCAGTCGGTTAAGTGTCTGACTCTTGGTTTCAGCTCAGGTCAGGATCTCAGGGTCCGGGATGGAGCCCCGTGTCAGGCTCTGTGCTCAGCAGGAAGTCTGCTTGAGATTCTCTCTCTCCCTCTACCCCTCCCCACTGTCTCTCTCTCTTTCAAATAAATAAATTAAAAAAAAAAAGACTGAGCCATTCACTGAGATAATAGTTGAATAGTACAGCTGAAGAAAGACTGGCCGTCCGTAGCACAAACTGAGCGAGCCTGGGGAAGTATATGGCTCTAGCAGAACAAAGAATGCGCTCTCTGACAAATAGTAGCTGCTGTGATTATCCTCCTGGTGGTATTTCAACTTTTCCAGCCTTTTTGACCATGGAGGAGAGTAAATGGTAACTGAAGGTGGAGGACGGGTGGGGAATCCAAGGGTTCAAGGGTCTGTTTGTTTTCCACGGGAGAGACTTGGAATGTGTTTAAGTGGCACCAGACAAGCTGGGTGAGCAGGAGAAGGGAGACTGGTGGGGCGATAGTCCAGCAGGGAGGAGAGCAGCTCCCAGTCCCACTGGTCTTCCACAGGAGGAAGGCACGAATGGCTCCTCTGTTTCAACAGGAGGCAGAGGGGGGAGCACACTGACTGAGGCAGGCATTTGGTTTGCTAGTGGGAAGATGAGGGCATTCCCATATCTTCGTTTGCTTTTGCTTTTCTTAGTGAATTGTGATGGAAGGTCATCTTGCAGAGAGTGACGTGTGAGGCTGGGTGGGGGGAGTGGAAAGGATTTGAAATAGTCCTCTCGGGGTGAGAACAAATATGTTCAGCTGAGGAAAATAAGCAGGGCTACCGGGCAGGGTGGAGCGTGCAACCACTGAAGATCCTTCTGTTTAGGAGGACACTGACCTCTATTCTTTTTCTCAGCCCCTAGGGGCAGGCAGGAGACAACAGGCAGCGGACTTGATCCTGAGTAACATGATACCTCCACAGGGACTTGGAAAAGACAGAAGGGCAAAGGGCCTCGGGGTAAAGCAGGGCTATTTGAAAAAGAATGGACCTTAAAATCCCTGCTGGACAAGGGATGGAAAAAGGAGAATAAGCTGAAGGACTGAGAGAAAGTAGAGGAACACTGGGTTGGGGGAGAGGTTGTGGGCAGGGAGCGGGATGCTTAGATTATGTGATTATGCAGGTAGAAATGCCAAGGAACTGAGCCCAGGGGGGCGCCTGGTGACTCAGTTGGTTAAACATCTGCCTTTGGCTCAGGTCATGGTCCCGGGGTCCTGGGATCAAGCCCCACATTGGGCTCCCTGCTCATTGGGGAACCTGCTTCTCCCTCTCTCTGCCCCTCCCCCTGCTTGTGCTCTCTCCCTCAAATAAATAAATAAAATTTTAGAAAAGAACATATTTTAAAAAAAAAAGGAAGAAAGAAGGAACTGAGCCCAGGGACAAGTGGGCTGCCCACGTGGGTGATGGCAAATGTGTCCGTTTCCTCCCCTTTCTACTCACTCCTCACCTCAACCTGTTACCACAGTCCAGCAACAGCTTTTACCGTCTCAGATGGCCTCCATGCCTTCAAACCCAAGAAATGTGTGATGTTTCAGCATTATGTGACCCCGTTCTCGAAATGGTCTCTTTCACTGGGTTCCAAGACAACACACTCTCCTTATTTCTTCCCAGCTTTTCTGGCCCCTGCTTCCTGGTCTGCTTTAAGAGGTCCGTCTGCCTCTTCCTGTCCATTGTACGTGGGAGTTTCTCAGTAGGGTGGACTCCTTAGCCTCCTTGCTTATATTTCCTCCCTAGGCAATCTCATCCCTGCCTCATGGCTTCATTACTACTCCTCATCTTAGAAGTTTCTTTGGAGCATTAAGCCCATACATCCAATTTCTACTAGTCCTTTCCACTCGGATGTCTCAGAGGCTTTTCAAGCTCATTCATTAACTTGAACTCATGACTTACCCCCAAATCTGGTTCTTTCCCGATGTTCCCACCTCAGTGAACTTCACGGTTAGACAAGTCAGAAACTGAAGAGTGGTCTTTGATACCTCCCTTTTCCTCAACCTCCCACGTCGAATCTATTGCTCCCATCAATTTTCTTCCAAAATAGCTTTGGGACCCACCCAATTCTCCCCATCTCCAGTGGGATGATCCAGATCCAACCCCATGATCTGTTGTCTAAACTACTGCGAAGCTCCCCAGTGGCTTGTCAATCTCTCTGGCTCTCCTCTTCTAGCCCATCCCTCCCGCTCAATCTCCTGAATTCTGCCTCCACCCCAAATACAAATCTCCTCATACAATCCTTTGCTTCAACCTCTTCAATTACTCCGCACTTTACACTGCTCCTTGAATAAAGATGAAAGCCTGTCCTGTGGTCCTTGGGACTCAGCTTGGCCCAGGCCCTACCTCTCTTCCAGGCATGCTGGTCTTATCTGCCTTCTCCTTATGGATCCTTCCTGTGCCCCAGCACCCACTTCCTTAGGGGAGACTTCCTGACCACTCCGCACCATCAGCCCCCTCCACCGCTTGCTCTCATGGAACCTATGCCTTCTTTTCATGGCTCGTCTTGCTTTGGAATTACACATTCATTTGGGTGGTTATCAGGCACCATGAGAGCAGGAACCACATCTGGTTTTGCTCATCTTGTACCTGCCCCACTTAGCAAAATGCCTGGCTGTAGTGAAGCTAGAAACTTTTTTTGGGGGGGTAGTTGGGGGTTAATTGGGAACCATAGGATTTAAACAGAAAAGGATGCTAGAAATCATCTGCTCTCTGTCATTTTGAAGTTGGAGAGACAGAGGCCTGGAGATGTGGGAGATGGAGGGGGTTGATTTCTACACCGTCACGGCTGATGGCAGAGTTGGAATGTCAATCCTGGCCTCTTCCTGGCTCAACCTGAGAACTATTTGTTTGTTGACCATAAATACCCTGGTTGTATTCTCTCCCTTGCCTTTTTTTTTTTTAAGTGAAAAATAAAAACTGTCCTTAAACTGTGCCTTTTGTGTTATCCAATCACAAAGCATTGGACCACTGGCTGCAGACAAAATGACACCCTCAGGAGGAAGAGGGGACACCAGCCTGTGGCAGTGATGGGGTGCCTTGTGGGAGCCGGGGGCCCGCCCCTCCTCCTCCTCCCCCTGCCGATATGCCCCCCAGCAATCAGTAAGAGTAAGAAGATGCGCCAGGCTCACAGTGACTCATACTGACTCCCTGGAAGGTGTGAACTGCTCCGAGAGAGTTGCAAATCCCATCTTCTCCGGCCGCAGCAGGCAATCATTCTCTGCACCGCCAGACCGCAGTCTGATGATACAAAGCGCTTTGCACTATTTTCTCCGGAGGCGTCATTTTCCCGCAGTTTCTTTTGCGCTGACTAAAGCACGGGAGCCCTCTGGTGGTAGTTTGCGGGAAAATCCCGTGAGAGGGAGAGAGCGGCTCAGTAGGGGTGAGAGTTCCTTGCGCCTCTCTCCCTTGCCTCCGCAAGCCGTTTCCAGAATCAGGCACTACAAGTAAAGCAGGGCCGTTACAAACTGTCCGAGCGGGAAGGCCCTAGTGGACCGCGGCTTGCTGCGGCCAGGCTTCCCCCGGCCAGCCCCTCCGTGCCACACGTAGCTGTGCCTGACGGTGTGGCGTCTGAGACAGTGCTTACGACGGGGCTGGAGAGGAGGAGGGCGCGGGTGACAGACCCCGAAGACTTGCAAATGCCCCCGAGCCGGGGAGGGGCAGGAATCCACGTTGCCCGGAGGAGCGTGAAGGTGCCGCCAAGCGGACAGGCCGACAGCAGGCACCGGAGAACCAGGCCCGCGGAGGGCCCGCTTCAGCAAGGGAAGCAGCCCCAGGTTTCTCCCACCGTTTCTCGAAAGGCTGGCCATATGTCCACCTGCTGGTCGTTACAAATTCCTTGGCAAGCCCCCTCTTTCATGGGCTCCATAGTATACCTGTCTTCGGTTCTGTGTTAATTTTCTATGCATGTTACAGCCTTTCAGAGGCAAAAATAAAAATCTGCACTATTTGAAAACATTAGGAGACAGATGTTGGACAAAGTTCAAGATCACAAAGAGATCAAGACGGTTTGATAGTGATTTTTTTTTCATGGAAATCCAGTCATATCTGCCTGTACTTTTAAATACACCGTTACTTCGGACATTCACACTCCACTAGGAACATGACTTACTACAAAAGAGAGAGGGACGTTTAAAACCACATTTAATTTTTAATACAAAATCTGTTGCACTATTACAGAGGTGACCCCTTCATGCACAGATAACTCTAGCGCCTACCATTATGGAAGAGTAAAAACTGTACTTTTACTGTCCCCCCCTCCCCCAAACAACGGCAAACTTAAAGTCACTCTTATCTTTGTGCTCACTGGTGCCCAGGCAAGCCTGTCTTGTTTTTCTGTATTTCCATTAGCACGGTTGGTCTGTGAAAAGGGAATATGGAGCTGTGGAAATAGGGTCATCTTTACCTGGGATGACTTCAAACTGGGCTCTGCCTACATGGAGTGAACAAGCCTCCTGAGCCCTACAGGCAAAGCTCTGAAGATGCCATCTAGAAACTCGCTGTCAATATGTCAAAGCGCTCACTATTTCAGTTTCACAGCAAAAAAGGGAAAATAAAAACCCAAAAGGTATTTAAGGAAATGCTTTCCAATCCCATGCACTGTATTTATGAGCTAACTTCTTAGACAGTACGACGTCAACATTGGTTGCGTGTTTATTCGTATGTAACACCTCTAAGCATATAGCATCTACACTTTCAGTGTATTTACAGATTCAACAAAATATCTACATATAAAAAGCTTTACTTAAAATTAAACTTGATGCAAGTTATGAGAAACCAATTTATTGGCAAATGAAACTGAGCATTCCTTCAACCATAGGTTGTTAGAGGATTTCATATTTGGAGGTAAACCATTTGATAGATATCGTTGGTGGATACGGTAGGATGTGTTATGTTTGTTTTGGAAACTGCAGACATAATCCCTTTGACTGTTGTCCTTGTTAGCACTCGTCAGATTTCTGAGAGTCGGAAATGTGTCCACAGCAATTTGCATACACACTGTTTAATGCTGCAGAGAGTTTCAGAAGCTGCCACCTAGGTAAAGGCCTGGAGAAAAGCATTCCTGTTGGCATGCTGTTGTCTGCTTCCGGTTTGGGAATAGATTTTCTTTTTTTTTTTTTAACAAAGATTCCCTACCAAATCGACGGCCCTCTGACCCAACTGGCTTGCTTGAATAGAAACCACAAAACCCACAGAATCAGCATGCGCTCCAGGAGGTGCTAAGCCTTTTTCTTTTTATACACACGGGGAAATGCTCCTTACCATCAACTGTCTGATTAATTTTATTTTCACATTTCCTTTCTTTCAGCATTGGCTGTTTCCAGGACCTCTGCTTTCTAGAAGTTACTTCTGGAGCACGCCGGGAAGCTAGGGCTCTGCGTCGGCCGTGCCGACTGCTACCGAAGGCAGCGTGTTATGGAATGCTTCCCGTCTGAAGGCACTGCATGTGTCTTGCCCTGTGCTTTCTGGAATCATTTTTGAAACTGAAGTGGAGTGACTCGTTTTCGATTCTTTCGGTCTGGCATTCGTGCCACAATGCACTGCAATACACATTATGCCTAAAAACAACTGACCGTAGAGAAGATGTGAGAAGTCGAACACTGTGCTGCGGTAATACCCGGAGGAATAAGGGGCAGAGGCCGGTCACAGAGTCTCTGCGAAGCATCGGCAAATGCGACGGTCGTCATGAACTCATACAGCAAGGATATCCTGTACATACTGTTTGTTGCTAACAGTCTCCCAAAAAGACTAACGACAGCTAGACATAGAGTCACCAATTTCACCACAATGTCCACAAAGACATTGGAGTTCTAGAGAATTCTACAGTAACACTCTTGACAATGAAAACGGAATTCGTATTTCGGGGGTTCAGCTGAGGAGAATATAAACAAAGTATCAAACCATGTTTTAATAAGGTACACAGGTATTCCTTTACACGTAGCATTTTTCATGCATCGTATTGAACTGTATCCCGAAGAGCAAATAACGTGATCGGTTGATGATGCTGTATTATTTTTATCAGTTCTGAACAAGAATACCTATTTTGAATGAAAAAGGATGTACTTTGCACTGCAGTTCACATTAACAAATCATCTGAGTTATGTTCTTGTTTGCACCACTCTCATAATATTAACGCACAGCAGAACACATACTTTCTGCCTGTGTTCCTAGTACGAGAAGGCAGACAAACAAGTGCTTAAGAGAAACATTCTAGAGAAATGGGATATTGGCAGAGAGTTTACAGATTAAACAAAGGAATTCATGGCATTGACAGGAGAAGGTGCCTCTGAGCTTTCGTTTCCTTCCGCTGGTTCCTTCTCTTTCTTACCACTGTATTGTCCAATAAAGGAGCCGTCCTCATTGAACTGGCCATTCACCCCCTCTCCATAGTCAACTAGGCTGTCATCGCTATCTTCCTTCTTCACTGTCCTGTCTGAAGGTGTCCGGCTGCCTTTTTTCAAAGGCTTGTGGTCTTCGGCATCACTGGAAGAAAGAGAAAACGTTTTTGTCGGGATTGGCATTTGGTGAAGTGCTGTGTTCTTAAAGATCATGCATGCAGGTTACGATAAAGCGTGTGGTGTCGCGAGCCTCGCTAGCCAGATCTAATCGTCAGGTGGACTCTGATGGCTGGGATGTGGTTGGGATGAAAATCAGGTGCAGGAATGGTTTAATCATGAAGTCTTCAGTAGGTGGATGGCTTCTCACTGCGCATGTCAATGTCAATGACTGATTCTCACTCCCGATTTGGAAGCAATTGAGAAATAGTCACAGGCATTTAAAAAGGAAGAATTGAGGAGAGTTGAAAATCATCACTACTTTGAATTCAAAGGAAAGGGAAAGCTTATGGCAAGTAGAGAAGTTAGTATGTTAAACTGTGTGAGATTCTCGGATTCCTTGGATATGAATGGAGAATGATTTTGGTTAAGTGTGAAATATGAGGAGTTTTCTTTTCTGAGCAAGAGGAAGCAAAATCCTGCTTTTCAAATAATTTTGTTATTGAGTGCAGGCCAGACTGTAAACTTTAACCTTACCTTTCAAGAGACCTAGAAAGTCCATTAAAAGGATGCAGAAGAAACAAATGAAAACAGCCTAAGAAGAAAAGCAAAATCCTTATACTGATAGTAAACAGTATTTTTTTTTTCTGTCAGAATTTTAGTTAATGGGTCAAGACTGATTAATTTGGACAGAGACACAGCTGGCCTTCAGAGCACTACTTATCTGTACTATTAAATGGCATGTCAATATAGTCTGAAGAGCGTGAGTGATTCAAAAAATGTCAGAGGAAATTCTAGCTCTGTTCTCCCTTCTCCCAGGGTGGTATGTAGCCTATCCGTGTTGGATGGGAATCTGAGGAGCAGGATTTTAAAAACGTTATAGAACTCAGTTTCTTCCCCTTTATTTCTCTATGAAATCCCTTAGCACAATATCTGGGAGTAGGAGAGTATGTTTTAGAACACCCACCCACACAGTTTTGCCACTAGGAATGCACAGTAACCAACTCTCTAAAAGGTAACAGTTGGGGGCGCCCGGGTGGCTCAGTTGGCTAAGCGACTGCCTTCGGCTCAGGTCATGATCCTGGAGTCCCGGGATCGAGTCCCGCATCGGGCTCCCTGCTCGGCAGGGAGTCTGCTTCTCCCTCTGACCCTCCCCCCTCTCATGCTCTCTCTCTCTCTCATTCTCTCTCTCAAATAAATAAATAAAATCTTTAAAAAAATAAATAAATAAAAGGTAACATTCGGTTTAAAAGAAAAAGATAAAAGGCCACGAGAGCATTCTGTTTCCTTTTGAAGGACAAAAATGCAAGGCAGAACAGGAAACATAAAGCAGTATTATTAAAAAGTGGACAGGCGTAACATCAAAAAGAGGCTGTGTCAGCGGCCATATTTCACCTGCCAATTTGTGGAGGCTTTTACGCACCCTCTGTCTCTGACAGTGAGCTTTGTTCTAGCCAAGATACACACATCTCGGGATGCACAAATATTCTGGCTCTTTGGCCAATAATTCCTACTAGGGTTTTCAATTTTTCTCCAAGAAGAAAATCTCAACACTGCAAAAATAATACTTGCTTAACAGGACACGGGTATCTGCTATTGGAAATTACCAGTTGCAACAAGACCCAAGTTCTTGTCACAGGCCGAATAAACAAGATGATCACCACTGCTAATTGACAACTGCGGAGGGATCACGGGACCTTGGAGTGACCTGTGTTTGGGGCCCTTCGGGGGACAGAGCATTTAATCTCCAACCTGCTCTGAGGATAAAGTGCACATCTTTAATCATTAACCTCTAGGCTGTGCTTGAATACCTCCTGCGAAACATTGCTCATGACTTGGTGAGGCCCTAAATTCCATCCACGTGTTCAATAATGAGCAGATTTTTGTCACCTGGATTCCACTTGTTCATTTTACTTTATAGGACCAGTGTTCCAAGGAATACATGACAGGAAATTCTAGTCTGTGGCAGTTCTTTGATCCAGCCATCTATCCATGCATTCAACCATTCACATATCTAACACATGTTTATTGAGTGCCTGCACTGAAACTGTTCTAGTCATTGGGGATATAGCAGCAAGCAAACCAGACTGAAACCCCGAATTCATTAAGCTTACTTCCAATAGGGGAAAATACAGAAAATAAACAACCAACATATGAAAACATTAGCCCCCTAGTGTGTCAGAAGGTGATTAGTGCTATGGAAAATATGGAACTCAGTAAAGGGGATGGAAGGTGTCAGGGGAGGGTGTAGGAGTTGACATTGAAACAGGGTGTCCACGGAAGGCCTCAGGAGAAATGACATCTGAGCAAAGACTTAAAAGAGTTGAGTGAGCCAGGTGGACAGCTGGAGGGAGAACCATTCTGGCAGGCGCAGCAAGCAGTGCAAAAGAGCCGCGGTGGTGGCAAGCCCGGCGCGTTCTAGAAGCGGAGCTCGTGTGGCTGGAACCGAAGCGGAGAGAGAGCAGAGTTAAGTTGGGGGGGGGGGGGCAGGGCTAGATGAGGAGGATTAGTGCAAAAACACAGGGGTCACATGACTGTGACCCGGGTGAGAGTGGAGCCCTGGGGTCACACAAAGTGGTTAGATTACGAACATACTTTGAAAGCAGCACCGGAAGGATGTCCTGATGATTGGATGTGGGATAATGGAGAAAAAGACGACACCAAGATTTTTGGTTTGTGCAACACAGAGGATGGAATTACCCTTACTATGGAAGGCTGCGTGTTTGGGGTAGAAGGTCAGTAGTTCAGCTGTGGACATGCTAAGTTTGCTACATTAGGGGAACCACTCCTTTCATCGTTTTATGACTCTAATATAACAGTGATACCTAAACCCAACAAGAACTCTTTGAGAAAGTGAAATTACAGGTGAATCTCATTCAGGAACCTAGATACGCAAATCCCAAAGAAATCATACCCCACGGAATTTAGCAATCTACTAAAAGGATACCATAGCGTGACCAAGTTGGGTTTATTCCAGGGAATGCAAGTTTGTTTCAGCATTAAAACATCAATTCATATTTTTCAATTTTAGCAGAAGAAAAAAATGTGTTATGATTATTTTAGTGGATTCAGAAGAAGGTATTTGGTAAAATTCAACATCCATTCACAATAAAAACTTCAATATTCTAGGAATATAAATATCTTGATTGACCTGATTAAGGGTATTCACAAGAAACTTGCAGTAAACATCATCTTTCATGGTGAATGTTGACAGATTTCTGTTTCACATCAGAAATCACAGTAGGGATGCCTGTTCTCATCACTTCTAACCAAAACTGCATTGAAAGTACTAAGCAACGTGCAAAAAGAAATAGAAGGCGTATGTTGTTATTTATAACCAATACAGTTACACTCATGTAAAACACCCAAAAGGATTTACAGGCAAACATTAGAATAAAAAGAGAGTTTGGTAATGTTGCTAAATACTATATTAGCATAAAAGTCAATTTTATTTCCATACTTACAAATAACTGGAAAGTGAAATAAAAAATGATTCCAGTTATATCATACAAATATGAAGTATATAAGAACAAAACCAATAAAAATGTTTGAAGTTCTCTATGAAGAAAATGAAAGTTTTATTCAGTTATTAAAGAAGAGCTAAATAAATAGAGGAACATACCATAAGTGTGGACGGGCAGACTCAAATATCATAAGCATGTTAACCTTCTTCATATTGGTCTTAAAAAAATTCATTTCCAATAAAAACCCAGCAGGTTTTTATGTGGATCTTGGCAAGCTGATTCTCAGCCGCATATGTAAAGGAAAGGGCCAGGAATATCTAAAAAATTCTTGAGGAAGAATAACAAAGTTGGGGGTTTTGACTTATCAGATATCAAGACTTATTAAAAGCTACAGGATTAAGATAGTGTAGTTTTGGTGCAAAGATAGACAAATCAAACAAAGGGCCCTGAGATATTTGGGAGATCTTTCTGTTGGCTTTATTCCTACATCATATTTCTATCCTATCATCGCTGAGATTATTTTTAAAATCCTATTTTCTAACTCTTTGCTGGTACACAGAAATATAATTGACTTCATGTTAATTTTGTGTCAAGTAACATCACTAAGTTCTTTTATGAATTCTAATATTTTCCTGATTCATTTGGATTTTTACACACACAGATAATCCTATCTGTTATGAATAATGACCAGCCAAGAAGGGGCTCCCCAGAAGCATCCATTCCAGCTTTTTTTTTTTTTTAAGTAGGCTCTTCATGCCTAGTGTGGAGCCCAATGGGGGCCTTGAACACTCTGAGATCACAACCTGAGCTGAGATCAAGAGTCGGATGCTTAACCAACTGAGCCACCTCGGCGCCCCACATCCATTCCAGTTTAATGGTCATAGTGGATGAGAGAGAATCTACAGCAACGTAGGCTGTGCTTGAAAGAAGAGAAGGAAGGAAGAGGGGTGTTCTAGCCATACACAGAGTCTTTCTAGGAAAAGCTTTTCCAAGGCAGCTCAAGATCTTTCTAAGACTGGGTTTTAAAAAGTGGTACAACAACGTAATGTCATACTTCAGTTAGAATCAGGTTAAATGGGAAAAAAATCATATGAGGCAACAGCCCATTACCCGGCATGTGATTTGTGCCCAACAAATATTAGTACCCATCTATCTACCACCACACCTCCTCGATCCACTCCAGGCCCCCACCCCAGAGAGATTCTTTTCTCACAAATACCCTGTGTAACACACACTCTTAGAAGTTTCCAGAGCTATGCCTGGTTACAAAGCCCTGTTGAAGTACTGTATTAATGCTTGCCTTTTTTCAACTCAAAGATGAATTCTATAATGAAATAGTAAACAAACTTGCTTTTGACATCGTGTCAAGGGAAGTCGCTCTGTCAAGTTTCAGTGTGAAAGCGCAGCCTCCCACATGAGAGGAATTTAGAAGTTATGGAGGATGACTTAAAAGTCATACACTTATTTAGCTACACAGTATTAAAAGCTTAAAAATATTCAGCCATGTTTTACGAGAACTGTTAAGGACAAAGATTCAACACATTTCAAACTAAGTCATAAAATAGTACACGTGGCTCCGAAATATATTTTTGATCCTCACAGCCATGCATGAAGATGGTTTTGCAGTGTAAAGGAATGCTCCCATCATGGTACCAGAACTCAGCTCCTGTGCCGCGTCCTCTGGGAAGGGTTCCCACCTCACCTTCCTTCCATCCCCCCAGTTAGCTTTGGCTTCCAGCCTGAGCTGTATCTCTTTCACAGCACTTTTCACATGATGCTGACTCTTCTTTCATTCCCTGGATCCCTCACTAGACTATAAACGAGTGAGATAACATTCTATCATTTTTAATATCCCCACAGCCTGGCATACAGTAGGCACTCAATAAATATGGGTTGAATGAATGAATTCATTGTAAAATCACAATAGAAGAGATGGTGGGCATTTTTAGAAATTTTTCAGAATTCTAACATCAGAAAACTTTCATTCCTTGTGAATTTCACGATGTCCGACAAAGCATTGGAGTATATATATATTTTTTCCTTTCTCTTACCCTCAGGATGAATTTTAAGGAGTTCACCTTTTTTGCAGTAGCACTTCATTCAGGGTTACGCACACAGGAGGTACCCATTGAATGTCTACTGACCAAAATCCAGCAGCGACAGACAAATCTGTGATCTTTTGGTCTGACTCTAGTGTGGTCACCATCCCACCACTGCCAAATCTTGCCGCAATTCGATTGACCTTCATGACCCAAGGCCTCCCTCTAAACGTCCATCATTATTTATACTGTTCACACACCACTTTATGTTTGTGTGCAGAATAAATCTAAAGTAGGTAGCTCATGTGACCCATCTTCACATCATTCAAGCCCAATGAGCATGGGTTGGCATGCTTGGAACAGAACCATGTTCACTTAAATGACAAGATTCCCATGCCCAGAGCCTCCATGCTCTGGGTTCAAGTACCACGGTCAGAGTCTTTATGACCTAGGTTCATCCTGGTTTTTAAAGGAATGGATCTAAAGAATAAAAAAAATACTTACACGGTTGGTTGCATTGTTTCTCTGATTTTTCTATATGCTAGTAAGGATGCAGATCCTACTGTCTGCATAATTAAAGAAACAAACAAAGAAAGCTGCAGGCTTCCACCAGAGGGTCACTGCTTGGGGGTGGGCGTTGGAGGGAGGCACAAGGTTACAGCTTACGGAAAAAAAAAAAATCAAATTTGGCCATTGAAGTTCCATCCCTCTTTGCACTATGAAATATCCCCTGGCTCAGAGCCAACCATGTAGAAACTGTTTCATCCTCAAGCTGGAGAATGAGCAAATCATAAACAGAATTAATTTACATTTAGTGATAGCCCTACTTTTGTCTGTGTTGGCGTGTGATCCGCATATTGATTTATTTTCAGAATGAAAAAAGAATAAGCATCAATAAATAATACAGAGCTCAGAACTTCCAGAAGGTGCAAAGCAGAGAAGGGACCCTGGTGATTTAGGAAGGAGAATGACACTTCAATGTATTATTAAAAAAACAAAAATCTGTCGTAATAAACAGTTGGAACCGTTTTCATTCGTCGTAACATCTAAGAAACTAAAAGTCTTTTGTTTTTTCTCTTTAGGTAGAAAAGAATCCACAGGGAAAAAGTTCTGAGTAGTGTCAAGACGTCACAGGACGAAGCCACAGCTGAAGGTGGCTGGGTGCTGGGGAAAGTGACCTCGCTTGTGGGACTGACTGTCCTTACGGACTTGGCAGTTCAAGTGAAAAAAAAAAAAAAATTCCTGGGTTGTGTATTAAGTTTTAGACACCCATCAGAACCTTCCCTTGGTACCTCCCACATCAGTGTAATTCTATGTGTGGCAAACGGTTTTGTCTTCACACATGAACCAACGGGTCTGTACTTGATAGGCCCGAAGAAAAGTCTTTCTCTTCTGAGGAGCTCAAGGCATGAGTTAAAGACAGCCACGTGAAAACGCCTCACAAACATGTCACATATGTATGAACACCAAGACAGAGGAATATGGCCAAAGAAATGTAAACACAGTGATAATGAGGCCAGTCACCAAATACTTGCCGTGGACTGCTCTGGAAGCCCAAATCATATTAAAGGTTGTTAGCAGACATCTCGTGGAGGAGGTTAGAAATCGCAGAAACTAGAAGCCTTCAGGGATCATCTAATAGTTGAACTGTATCATTTTACAGATGAAAGAAATGGAGACCCAGACACATCAAGTGCCATATCTAAAGGAATCAAGGGTAGGGCTGGGTTGACCGTAAAACTAACAGTTTCTGGATTCCGGGCTGGTTCCTATTCAACCTCGATTTCAATCCCATTTCTACAGAGTAGGCAGCATGGTCACCCTGAGAACGTCACATTACATCAGACCCTGGTTTCACACCACTGTAAAAGCAAGCTGACATCAGGGAGCCACGAGGCGAGCAGTACATCACTAGATCAATTTAAGCACGATGACGGACAACGGGAACGCAGGAGGTGCCATGCTTTCTTTCCGATTAATGCCAATACTGAGGTGTTTCAGGCTACATGGAAGATGTAGCTTCATTGTAATAAAGAAGGGAGTGGTGTGCCTATCTTGTGTACCATTCTAGCCACAAAAACGCTAAGAAGTTACTTAGTTATTATGGCCTCACCTGCTTTATGGGAAAAACATGTACAAGAATGAATTATATCAGCGAAGACTACAACTCACCCAGTGTCACACATGGCTTCCCTAGGCTACAGCCATCTGCACACTGCCCTACCATGTCCTGTGGAGAGTTGGGGGGAGGGGGTGGCCCAGGAAGCTTCCACAAACTTTGAGTCCCAGAGTCAACATGTGATATCCAGACAACCCTCACTAGACATCTTTCTGTATCATGAGGTACAGAAATTCTGAGAAGTTTTACGAATCATAATCATCTCTGTGGAAGAGAAGATCAGAATATCTGAAGGTGTAGGTGCTGAGGCACAAAGTCCAAACACTTGTATCTGCATGGAAACTGATATGAAACCAAATGTATCCAAAATATGTTTTTTTCAATCAGTTATCATATTTCTTATCCTTAGCATTACTTAGCCCCTCATGATATTGACATGGAAATACCAAAAATGAGCTCCAGAGATGAGTAAAAATTAGCACAAATATCTATAAATGTCATCTGGCAATCACAACAGGGAAATATTTTATTTCACCTAAAAGCCTTTTCATCTGCCAAAAAAGGCTCAATCTGGGCTCAGTGCATATTTAAAAGACTATATTTCTATAATTAAGAGGCTGATAGAAAAAACAAGGTATAAAGGCATTTTATAAATAGAAGTATTCCTTTGGAACACCCAAATCCCAACTTTTTAAAGGAACAAATATAGAGCTTGTTTCTGATTTTAAAAATGTCTAAAATAATCAACTGTTTCTTTTTAAAAAGACATACAAATCCTAGGTAAGAATATCTTTATTTAAAGAGTCTCTCTCCCTCTCTCCCCCTGCCCCTTTTCATTATTTAGCACATAGGTTAAAATTTATTCCTAACGATGGAGCCAAGCCAAGAATGTATTATCAAAATCCTGTGAATTAACACACTGCCTAGAGGTCTATGATATTCTTAATAATTTACAGCTTCTAAAAGAACCTTGCCATCCTTTCATGATTAATGGACAGGATATGGGTATTTCTTTTGGAAAAAGAAGCATCAAATCCAGGATTAAAAAAAGTAACACCAATTTTATAAACTCACTAGTTAGAAAATGACAGGTGTAGTTTCCTTTATAATGCAGGTTTTGTAGGGTCTTTACTATTGCTTTAACTCTTACTATAACACACCAGCTTTTCCTAGGTTGAGCAATACAGCGATGCCTCTGGAAAAATACGGCGGGGTGGAAGGTACTCTGTCTCCAAACCCATGACTAAAATGGAAATTTATTTTTTAATGAAAAGTGAGAATATTTTCATTGGGGATGTGTAGCCATGTAGACATGGAAGTGTTTCTAAACTAATATTTGAGGAAAATAGGCAATGCCACAGAGCCTGTCCCTGGCCTCATCCTATTGGCGGGAGTCTGTATGAGCACAGTGTGTGTGCAGGGCGGGAAGGGTGAAGGGAGGCTGAGAAGCAGTGGCTCACCTGTATTCTCCAAAAGTGCCATCGTCTTCCTTCATAGGCTGGATTTCAGGATCAGCATGAGCATCTTCCTTCTCTTTGACTAAAAAATTTCAAAGTGATAACATTACCTATTGATTCCATGTTTCCTTATTCAAAGTTTTAAAGACTGAACTCCCTGAGATGTATAGCAGTAGAAAATAATTCTATACACAGCAGATGTCATACCACAACAGATGCATTATGTGGCCATGCATATACTTTGCTGTTTTAGTCTCTTTGAGACAACCTAAGAGAATGAACATTTGTTAACATATAAAGTTGACTTCCTGTGAGCATCCTACTGATGAAGGAATAAGTCTGAAGTCTCTAAGATCTCTCCCCTACTTGGCCCATCTATTCATTATATTCAAGGTTACAAATTGTTTCAGCACATCTCTTCTTTTGCAGATTTTTTTTTTCTTGTCACTGAAAGGGAAATGGCCAAGTAAAGAAAATATAAATTCATTGGATCCACTGAGTTGAGGAAAACATTAGCCATAGAGGAAAGGCAATGTTACACATCATGATATCAAGACTCAGTTCGTGCAGTATTTCCTCCAGAAGATTCCATGTACCTTCCCCCTCTGCCTGTTGGTTTTAGGTGTAGCAGCTGTGACTTAGGTGGAACCTAAGGAAGCAGAGTCACTAATATCTTCAGAGAACAGATGAATTTCCTCCCCCAAATATCTTCTGATCCTTGACAATGTTTAGGCTCCCATTATAAAAAAAAGGGATCAAAAATTGTTTGGACAGAAAGTCCAAATTTATGGCTCTGGGAAAATATGCTTATTGCAATCTACATGATCACTCTCATTATTTCTTTATAGTTTTGAATAATTGTGCAGCGTTCTGAGGCGACTTTAATCTTTCTTTCTTACCTGGATATTTACCGCCCTTGTTTCTTCGGATGAAGCAAACAATCAGCAAAATTAAGATAAGGAGAGCGACGGCACACATTAGACCAATGAACCAGCCCTGAGTCGCAATATCCACCTGCCGGCTCGCCATTGCTGGAAAACAGATCAGTGGCATCAGGGGATGAGGACTGTTGTAGCCTCTTGCAGTAAAAAACTAGCAGAGTAAATGGGCTTTTATACATTTTACACGTGCCCCAAATTGAAATCTGTCAGTTATCAATCAGGAGTTATATACCAACTCTGAAAAATCTTCATTAATTAAAAAATTCAGATAGTGAAATCTGAATGCTAATACCATCAAATGCTAACAAATCTGGCTAAACACTGTGTTCACAGTTATTTTAACTATATATTCTCAATAGAAACATAGTCCCAAGTCAGTTTTAAAAGTACTGTCTACAGATAAACTGTACATTAAGTACAACGGTAAGAATGTAAGACTGAATTTTAAACAGAACAGAATGTATACATCTAATGGAGTATTTTTCCTTCAAAGGAACTGCTTTTGGAGGCTAACATATCATTGCAATGATGTTGCCATTTTTCAAAATGTTTTGGAAATCTTCTATTAAAAAAGAAAACTGTCCACACAAGAAACCTATCCACATAAGACAGCCAGCCTTATTATTTTATATAGCAGCTCAATTTGCACCTAAAACGTTACTTAGATTTGGTATTCATCTCATTTACAAGATTTGGTTCTAAAAGATTTTTGGAAATTTCTGAAAAATCCAATTTACCCTCAAAGGATCAATATTTGATATTCAATATTGCTTTGGATCCATTTAAAAGACTTTGAAAGGTAGCTTGATCAGCAGAATCATTATTGGAATAAATGACCAGTTTAAAGAGAAAATACTCATTCACATATATACATAGTCTTTGTCTTCATCTATTCTGTTTGAGTCAATAAACGTGAAGCCCCGTATTCAACTAGTCCCAGTATGCAAATCTCCTAAGAAAAACACAGAATAATTAGCATTGCTGGTATTATTCAAAAGTGTCAATCAAATGGGACAAAGTGCAGCATCAATGGCCATTCAGACATGCCCAAGAGGATTTGTTTAAATAAATTCGTATGAAACTTTTTTTTTACAAAGGTTTTTATTTTTTTCTTTTGACCATAATCAAAGTAAAAGGTTTTCTTCTTTTGATTCACAAGCATGCCTATAGCATGCTTTTAATTTGATTGAGTTTCTTCTGAGTGCATTTAACATGGTTGGGTGGGTATATGTGATCTCTGGATGCAGAAACAAACATGGCTACATAGATCCCAGGTTCCATCCTCCATGGCCAAAATAGAACCTTGTTGCCTTATTTTTCTCCACACAAAGCAGAAGGCGAAAAATGAAATGCTTAAAATCAAGCATGAAGAAGGATGTGAAGAATGTGTGCGTATGTGGTTAAGAAATAACATGAGAAGTGGAAATACACCATCTGGATTATAAATCAAACGCCTCACTGGCCGAGGGGTTTTGAGTTGTATCATGACTAGATCCAACCGAGGCAGGAGTGCGGGCTGTGCTCTCCTGCATACACACGCCGTGACCATGACAATGATGATGGAGAAGAAGACAGGGATAATGAGAGCTAACATCCTGAAACTCCCACTATGTGCCGGGCACTATGCTAAGGGCAACATCTGATTTAATTTTCACAGCAGTGCTTTGAGGTGGGTGGGAGGAGTACACCCGTGCCCCGGGAACAGAAAGGACTTGCCCGACGGCTGGAGTTGGACTGAGTCTGTCCGACTCCTGAGATACTAGCTGAACGCTCTACTGCTCTCATGCCTTCTGGAAAACAAGCCCAGACATCAGATCTGCAGAAGTCTTTGTGAAAAACACAAGGCTATGGGGACTTTCCATTCTGAGACAGGCAAAAGGATTTTAAAGGTCCATCACTACATGCTCCTTGGCAATGCGTTTTTTTCAAATTTGCACATGGTCTTTGATTGTGTGCTTTTTCACCAAAACTGAGCATCTGATCGAAGTTGAAGAGTTAATCATTTATAGCCTTGTTGTAGAAGTAGCTGCATCTACATTTTCCATCCAACTAAATGCAACCAATAAGGGCAAAATGCAGTAAGATACCCAAACGCCAGCACAGACATTGACTCATAAAGATGGCGGTGGCCACAACTGAGCTGCCTACAGGCAGCTTGCTACGTGCAACTATGCAAACAGCGGCAATGTTTCTTTGACAGTTGACAAAGGAAAATCCAAATGGATTTTGAATTTCTACCTCTACGTCTAAAGAAAAAAAGCATCAAATATGATCCGCCCAGACTATGTAAGGCTAGGCAGACAGCACGCGTTAACAGGTGTGTGGTGCACACTCGCAGAAGCACACCCAAGTGCACCAGAAGTTGGTATAAAACAAAGATTAGGTAAGTGAAAGATAACTTCTCTTGACTTCTCACCCATAGAAGAAGGGACCTAAAGCCTGGAATGACTACGAGAGGCTTCGATTCTTCCCAGCACATTCTAAAATCATCTTAACTGCAGACGCACATACAAACCCAAGTCCTGGCCACCACTGTGCATCACACACACACACACACACACACACACAAGCCTGTGGGCTTTTTCTTCTTGCATCTGGGTTCCAATGGGCAGGTACTTGTAGGATTGAGTATTGAGTAGGAGAATTAAAGAGGATTTTCAGTTTACTTACATCTTTACAATAAAATTATGTTCATGTATTTCTTGAGTAATCCATAAAGCGATAAGTTAAACGAGTAGATAAAGAATATGAAAAAAGAAAATAAGCCAGAGGAATAAAATTTGTTTTGTTTCCTAGAAGTCCGTTTTAACAAGGGTTCTGCCGGCACATTGCCGCTGTCCTCTGGCTATAACCTGTGCTCTGCGGTAGTAGGCCTCTGAGGAAATGCTTAGAATAACAGAGTAATGTGGAAGGGACAGAGTGAATAAATGGCTATTTATGAAGAATCCATTAAGCCTAAAAATGTCCTGTTGAATTAAAATAGTTAGAAATGTACAGAAAGAGCAGGACATTTCCTTGGCCAAAGTTTGGAGACAGTACTGAGTTAACACTATTTGCTCCTGGAACTAAGGCTTTAATCAAGACTTACTCTTTTTCATAGTTACTTCTATATGCCAAAGGTGACAATAACTGGTTGCGGCCTTGTCCCACCTGTCCACCACGGGCACGTAGAAATGGCGCACCTGCCGCGATGGCTCACCTTGAATGAGCTGTCAGCTACAGCTGGCCCTGTAGGTACGGCAACACTGGAGGAAAAAACTTTTCTAAAGGGTTTGCCTTCTGTCCCATAAAAGGACAAAAAACCACCACATTTGATGTCATAGACGGGATCTGATTCGCCAGGTGTACACTGGAGCCTTTGGGGGACCAGAATACGCGCCGAGTGCCAAACGAAGCGGTCACTCCAGCCTGTTTCCCTCGGGACGTGGGCTCTGTGACCCCGGCGGGGGGCGGGGGGGTGTCGTGAGAGTGTCCCCTCCAGCGTTGGAAGGCTCCCTCACATTCCAGCCCGGTGACATGCTACTAACCTGACGCCTAAGCGGGAAGGAGCACTGCCCACTTCATAGGATTTCTGGACAGACTGAACAAGAGAAGCCGCTGGAAACCAGTCGCCCGGTAGAAATTCGAGCTGATGAAATGCTAGCACTGTGACTATCGTTAGCCTTCCAGCTATCAGTGGACAACATGTCTCCCTGAGCTTTTCGTATTTTGAAATTAAAAGCCATCACTAACAAAAAACACCCTGTAATCCTGTTAGTTGATATTCCTCTTCGCAGTCTAATGCAGTGCTTTCCTAGAGCTCTGTCCACACGCAGTTGTGAAAACACAAGGAACAAAATTACAGAAAAGTGGTTTTCTCTTTACACATTATGATTTTTGCTCACGAATAGCTTAAAATGTAGTTTGATAAGTTACCAAATATTACCTTTGATTTCTTGTTTTAAAACCGCTCGTGATTGTAGATCTTATACATGATGCATGACTTTACATGACTTTGAAAATCATAATGCTTGTGTAATGAAAGACACACACAAAATGCGTTTTGCCTACGGGTTCTATGGCAAATGCAGTATCTCCTCAAGAACGCACGAGGCGATGGAACAGAAGTAACACGGACGGATGAATCACAAAGCAAGTCTGTGCCACACAGCCCTTCTCTAATTTAGGTCAGCAAGGATTATTCTCCATCTTATGAGCTGGTATGAATATTCTTGCATCTTACATGAACATTATTTTAGAAACTTGAATCACTTGTCGCATATTATGATACCATTCAAAGAACGAAAATTATGCAGGCAGTCAAATTTGGTGTGGTCAGAAGAGATACATGATATGAACGATGTCTCATTCTATTCAAGTATAATAATCTTTACCTCAGTTGTCTAACCAGACTGCAGGTTTGTGCTGATTATAGTCCCTTGTGACATAAAAAAATCGTGACTCTATCAAGGAATCATGGAATTGAAAATTCCATCCTAACTCCAAGGGAAGGTTTACACATGTAAAGGATGTGAAAAATTGAATTACCTACATAATGTAAGTTAAGAATCATTTTTATCTCTGTTTTTGTAATGGTTTTTGTCTATGCCATGATTAGAAGGTGATCTGCCCAATTCTGTAATTCATTTGATATAAAGAGCCAAAGACAATTAAAAACCCCAAGTCCCAACCCAACTGAGCCCCACAGAAAGACATTCATGGCCCTACCCATAACCCAACTCCACTAGGCCCCTGCCTCCAACTGGGCCTATCTCAAACACATCCTCTGAACTCACAAAACCAGAGTCCCCCTCAGCACCAACTCAAACTTGCTACGTTCCTGGCATTAGGCACCTTCACTCAAAGAAGCTCCGAGAACCATTTACAATTTCTTGCCTCCATTCTTCTTTGTCTGTGGGAGTTTTGCAAAAACAACAAATTTGAGTATTTTGAGGAACTGGAAGTTACTTAACACTCCAAGAAAGGAAAATTCTTTATACGCTAAAGACAAAATCTAGACTGCTTAGGTTTATCGTTTTAGATGATTATAAATCTAGTCATGCCAAATAAATCAACTGAAATGAAAAACTATATGAAAATGTCCTCAAATA